CTTGGAATTTCTTTCATTGTGAATAGTTTCACTGCAGTGACTCACAGAACATTGGCTCAGCCGTTATTGCGTTCTACCCCACATCGGTAGGATAGTAGAAGAACCTTTTGCAGAGGCTGCAAAAGCACAGAGCGGACACTCTATTATAGTTTGCGCCAATGGCCTGATAGAAATTGCTGAAGTCACTGGCTGAGTTGCGTGCCCCTCTGTCCCATCTTGGACACAAAAAGAATCTCCAGACTTGACCATTACATTTCCCCTGAACACTCTCTAGGATAACGTTAAAAATGTACATTACAGTTAGCCCAACTCTCTTTCCCAACATGATCGTGTACATTCTGATCTGAGAGATTTGCATTGCCTCCAGCTTCTAATACAGCTCCTGGCAGGTGGTGTGGGTTCCATCAATATTTATTGAATTGGAGAGAAGAACCATTGGGATGGAATTGATGGAAAGATCTCTAAATTAGGCAAAGGGTGTGACTCAATCTTCCTCTATATTTTTTCCTCTTCAATTGGAAAAGGATGCCGATTTTGTTGTTAAAGAATAACTGAAAATATGAAAATTACATTTGAAGAAATCTACACAGCTGTTGATTTTAAGATGAATTTTTCTAGCCAACACATGAGATTAACTGCAAGATCTCCTTTTCTCAAGAAGTAAGTTTATGATCTTAGATAGACAAACTAAATCCAACGAAATACAGGTTCATGGACCCTGAGTTTGTTCAGACTGTAGCATTACCCAAACCTGCTAGTGGGGTGCCTCTTTTTATAGCCTCAGATAAAAGACAAACTGCTAAACAAATATTGACTATGTGTTCTGACTTTAAAAAACACTGAAATAGTTTTTTTTAAAAAGCTCAGGGTGTCATGATTTTGACAGATTTTACTGGTTGGATAAAAACATCTAATGTCACATGCTCTGAAAACATAAAAATTAAGAAGTGATTTCTGCTGATTTCTTATGGGTGAGATAAAGTAAACAAAAATAAGAGAACTATTCTCCCTCAAACACGTCTAGCGCCATGAAGTCGGGATAGAAAAAAAGACAGAGAATATCTGACTAAAAAAAGGTCATTGTTTAGGTTAGAATGCTTTCTCCTAAAAAACTACCAAAATCTGCATTTTGTTTAACTTTTTATAGTATTTTAACCAAGCAGTTTGTTTTATCATTTCCAAACTCTTTGACACAGTGCCATATATTAGAAATCACACAGATACCAAAGGTCATGTTCCCTGCATCAGTCATTAACTATCAATAGCTTATACCATCTGCTATTCTTTACATTCTAGAATCAGTAGCACAGTAAATATGTACATTTTCTTCAATTAAACGATACGTTCTTTGGTCTACCATCAGTCCTCAGAAAAACTAAATGAGATTGCTGATATACCTATGTTGGGCATGTTTGATACTGGATATTTTGGGCTTATAAATTTAAAGTTTGAAGATAAGTGTGCTTGGAACACCTAACAACAGCAGGAAAATGCCAATATAGTCTAGTGATAGAGCCCAAACCAGATGGTTAGGGCTTGTAAGAGGTTTAAATGTCAAAATATTTAAGCATTAAAAAATCCTGTTAGGTAAGGAACTTCAAAACCTGTCAAAACTACACGGCTAATAGCTCTGTAATAAAACATGTCCCCGAGCACAGAGTGGAGGCAAGAAAGAGCTAAAGGTTTTACAACTGCTAGGATGTTTCTACTGGGACACACGCAGCAGTTACAAAAAACATCTATCACGGGGGCGCCTGGGTGGCTCAGTGGGTTCAAGCCTCTGCCTTTGGCTCAGGTCATAGTCTCAGGGTCCTGGGATGGAGCCCTGCATGGGGGGGGGTGTCTCTGCTCAGCAGGGAGCCTGCTTCCCCCCTCTCTGCCTACTTGTGATCTCTGTCTCTCAAATAAATAAAATAAAATCTTAAAAAAAAAAAAAGTCTATCACATACAGCTGGCCAAACAGAACTTGTGCCTGATTTGGATATTTCAGATACGGAAATCTTAATTGAATATAGTGGGAGTTTGTTCTTGTTACCAAGGAGAGTACAACTGAACCCTGGAAGTGGGGAAACATTATTCACACCTGTAATGAACACTGATCTTACAGCTACTTTATGTTAACTATTTTACAGTATTTCTTTTTTTTTTTTTTTTAAGATTTCATTTATTTATTTGACAGAGAGAGGGAGATCATAAGCAGGCAGGGAGGCAGGCAGAGAGAGAGGGGGAAGCAGGTTCCCTGCTGAGCAGAGAGCCTGACATGGTGCTCAATCCCAGGACCCTGAGATCATGACCTGAGCTGAAGGCAGAGGCTTAACCCGTGGAGCCACCCAGGCACCTCAGTACTTTACAGTATTTCTAAGAAGACACATATCTTTTTGGACCAGATATATTGCAAATATGCCCCCACTACCAGTTTAGCATACTGACATTACAAGTATTTGAACAGCCTGGCCAAATCTCTAAAAAGAAGGTTCCTAAGCACTAATAACCTAGGAAAATGAACAATAGTTACAGATCTAACAGGATTACAAATAAATGAAAATCTGAGTTGAAGAAGAATGAGGAACGCGTGGAAACCTGCCAGAGATCTGAAGCTGGAGAACTGAAAGATCAAACAATTCTTTTCTGAAAGGAGAGAGAGAAAAAAGTAGAGTCAAAAGGTTAAATAAAAACAGA